TTTTTATTTTTTGTATGAGTGTATTGCCTGCATGTATGTGACATGTCACAGACATGCTGCGAAAGTCAAAAGAGATCTGTGGATTCCCCTGGAACTGGAGTTAAGGACAGTTCTTAGTCGTCACGTGGGTGCTGGGAATCGAACCTGGGTCCTCTGCAAGGTCAGTGCTCTTAACTGCTAAGCCATCTCTCCAGCCCCTATATATTTCTTTTGACATTTATATTTGTTGTTTTTTCTAGATTATGAACTATTTGAAGTTAAATTTTTTTTGTTCCCGTAGCTAGAAAAGATGGGTCAATAAATGCTTGTTAGGTTAAATACAGAAAGAACAAAGTTACAGAAACAGGAAGTTATGATAAAGGAAATTTATTGCTTTAAGGGTGAGATTGGAAAAATGCAAGAATTAGAAGTTATATATGGACAGGCAAGAAGGAGTTCAGATTTTGAGCCTTAGAATATGTAAATCTGTATTTTGTAAGTCTGGACCACTGTGAAATTGATTAGTGTTTAGACACTGAGACTAAGGTCATAAAGGTTACCTGCTTGAGTCCGTCATCCAGGAATATGAACCATAATGATTAGTATTCCTACATAAAGTACAGATGTTTACATTGGCTTTCAGTGCCGGCATTATGGTGCTTTCCACCTGAGTAAAACTAAATTACCTTCCAGGTGTACATACTTAGAGCCTAGATTTCTTTTTCTTCAGCCTGGTTGCTTCTCAGAAATAGAACTACTTTTGTACCTTTGGTCCCTGAAGTCGCTGTTGGCTTCCTTGTCTTATAAGATAGTCAGGCTTTACAGTGGCCAAGCCAAGAGTGGAAAGAGACAGACAGACAGACAGACAGATGGGCTAATGAAGTGTTCCAGTTATAAATGTATGTAACGTGTTTCTTCTTCCTAACTTAGTTCCTACTGTTCAAAATTTCAAAGACTGCACTTTAAACTTCTCAACTGAAGTAATCTTCACCTGCAATTCCTTTTCATTTTCTGCTTCTCTTTTTTTCATTTCCTCTACCCTGGGAGATCATTCATGCTTTTTATCCAAGTGTGAAGTATTCTAAATACCAAGAGTTATGTACAATTGAAATGTACAATTGAATGTGATGATGAAAGTCTCATTTTTATCTTTAAAACTTGTGTATTTATATAAATATTTGGGGGGACACTTGATTATTCATTGCTGTTCTTCCCCTCCCCTTTGTGTTTCTAGAGTATACATTTGTATGTGTGCATGTCAAGACCAGTGGTTAATTCTAGGTGTTGTCCTCTGTTGGGCACCACCTTATTTTTTGAGACAGTGCCTTTCATTGAACCTGGAGCTCTTTGATTTGTTAAAATTTGCTAGCCAGTAAATCTTCTTAGCTCTGCCTTTCCAGGGACTGGGATTACAAGTGTGCAACCTCACATTCAGCTCTTTACATGGTGCTGGGACCTGAACTCGGATCCTTATTGCTTGTGTGGCAAGCATGTTACCAACTAACCCATCTCTTTGGTCCTTTTTCCTTTTTTGAGATAGTCTCATGTATGCCAGGCTAGACCTCAAACTCACTATGGAACCATAGTTGACCTTGAACTTCTGATCCTCCAGCCTCCATCCCCTGGGTGTTGGGATTACAGACATGCACCATGATGCCAGGCCTTCCTGCGTATGAGTCAATCATTCTACTGACTGAGCTACATCCCCAGCCTCTTTAATGTTATTCTTTCTTAGAGCTTCCTTTCCCCACTCCATCTCATAAATTCTTGTTAAACTTGCACAACTCAAGATACCACTTTCTAGTAATTCCTTTTCTCTGCTTTAAAATCTTTGTTTTAGACTCAGATCTTCATGTTACTGCCTATTACAGTAATAAAGCTGCGAGCATGCTAATTAGTCTCCAGGGTTTAGTTTCTTCATAGGTCTTTTTTTAGGATTGTGGTGAATATTAAATAATAACTATAAATAGAAAACACATAACACATACTAAGTGCTTAATGGTCAATATTACTTTGTGCCACTTACTAATAATTTGTTCCTTCACTTTTTCAGGTTACTAGCATATACTTTAGGTATTGAAGAGAAAGAAAGACAGGCTTTGCCCTAAAAGGAAGACAAGTCAATGATAAAACTATTTAGTTGGTATTAAAGTATCAAAGTGCTATGGACACACCTAGTAATGAGGAACTTAAACTTGAATTGAAAGTTCTCTGCCAGAGGTGAGGTCCACACTTCAGAGACTTAACAGCCACTTATTAGAGCCAGTTCCCAAATTATCTATGTTATAGACAGATTCTGTCTGCACTTTGGAATTATCCATTTCTATAGTCTTCCACTTGAAGAATTTATAAATGTAATGTAGCATGTACCAAAACTGAACTCATGTCTTTTAAGCCCTACATTTTTAAAATACTTTATTTTGAGTGTATTGCCTACTTGTGTGTAAGTGCACCTACCCATATCATGCAGTGCCCGCAGAGATCAGCAGAGGGAGTTGAATCATCTGGAACTAGAGTTATAGACTGTTGTCAGCCACCATGTGAGTGCTGGGAGTCGGACCCGGGTCCTCTGCAAGAGCAATCAGTGCTCTTAACTGCTGAGCCATCTCTCTAACCCCTAGCCCTATACTTCTTAAAAGTCTTTCTTTCCTTTTCTCCTTCCCAGTTCTTGCTTCAGAGCCTTATCATCTCATACTGTTCTGAAATCTATTTACATACTCACCAGGGAGTTTTCTATGCAATGCAAATTGAGGATATGTCCTAGTAATAGAGCACTTGCCTAGGATGCTTTTGACCCTGAGTTTGATCCTCAGCACTTAAAAAAAAAAAAAGTAAGCAGTACAGATATACAACCATTTAGCTGTCATGTTCTCTCAGGTTTTTTTTTTTTTTTTTTTTTTTTTTTTTTTTTTTTTTTTGGTTTTTTGGAGCCGGGGCCTCCCTGGAGCCCCGGAACCTCACTAGGTAGCCCGGGCGGCCCTTCACCCCACAGAGCCCCCCCTGCCTCTGCCTCCCAAGTGCTGGGGCTAAAGGTGTGTGCCACCATGCCCGGCCCTCTCAGGCTTTTTATACCTAGTAGAATAGGATTCCAGAAATTTTATCAGCTACCTTTTAATTGGATTTTTTTTTTTTTTTTTTAATCTTTTTAGGCTTTGTTCCTATGTCCAGGAAGTCTTTCTTGAGTTCTGTGTCCCTCAGCAACCTTACGGAATTATGCATCCTTTCTTGGTACTTCTGTGATAGTCTATTGGTATCACTCTGTTACTGTATTTGTCACCTTTTCATTGCCGTTGTGCTTCTGCAAGATCTTGAAATTCTTAATTTTAGTGGCTGCGGTGTACACACACTTTTGTCACCTCAAGGCTAGGATCATACTAAGTCCTACATGTTTAATGGTTGGGTGATGGTAACTGCATGTTAGTTTAGGTAAGCAAAGGTGACAAGCATATCCTGAAGACAAGAACCATCTAGTTTTTTTTTTTTTTTTTTTTTTTTTTTTTTTTTTTTTTTTTTTTTGTTGTTGTTGTTGTTGTTGTTGTTGTCTTTTTGAGACAGGGTCTCCCTGTAGCCCCAGCTGCACTGGAATTCACTATGTAGACCAGGCTGGCCTCGAACTCCCAGAGATCTGCCCTCTGCCTCCTCAGACACCCAGAGGTGTACTTTACTGATCCTTTTAGGTGATTCTCAATCCAACTGAACTGGCAATCAAGAATCAGCTGTCGGAGTTGGAGAGATGACTCAGCAGTTCTCTTCCACAGGATCTGGGTTCAGTTCCCAGCACCCACATAGTTGTTAGCAACCACACCTAACTCCAGTTTCAGGGGATCTGATGCCTTCTAGCCTCCGTGGGCATGGTGCACTTACATGTATGCAGGCAAAAAGCACTCATGTAAAATAAAAATAAATAATTAAAAAAAAAGAATTAGCTATCATAGACCATAGTGAAAGGTTTTCTTTCAATGTATTTTTCATTTTTGTGTATGTGTGGTTTCCCCTTTTCTCTCTTCTGCTTCACCCATCTGAGGTAGGATTTAGGGCTTTATATTAAGGATGTTCATTAATAATTATGATTCAAATGAGTCCCAGGAGTTTGTAAAAAGTGCAGTTTAACCACTATGTTTGGGATACTCTAGGATATCAGATACTTAGTATTTATATGTAAACTTTAATTTTGTGTTTTTGTAAGGAAAAGCAAGCACACTAGCTTTTGCTTGACAACGTCTGATCTGAGAAAACTTCGTCCAGAACTATTCTCCAGTCCCAAATCTTTTAAGTAAACTTGACTCACAGATAGGCTGATTTATCTTGTGGCTTTGATTCTTCTTGACCATACCTGCCTTATTCCATTCCTTTAACTGTAGAAGAATACAGAAGTTATATTATGTAGTTAGGCTTTACAAAAAAATAGGGACTAGCATTCTAAAATTGACATTTGCAGTATTAGAGATTTAAAATATATGGTTTCAACAAAACTGAAATGGTATCTGAGGACTGAGCGCATGGGGAAATATGATTTACTTAGGGCACAGCTTTGACTCATGTGCTTTAAAGCTGCTATATGTAGAAAGTAGTCATTTAGCTGAGTGGATGGGCCTTAGCTGCATCTTAGCTCAGCATGGCTTTTTAAATATATAGTTTATTTTTATGTGTATACATGTATTGCCTGCATGTATGTAAGCACACCCATGTCGTGCAGTGCCCAAGGAGATCTGAAGAGGGCATCTGATCCCGTGGAACTGGAGTTAATGAGCGGTTTGTGGCCATGTGGGTGCTAGGTTTTGAACTCAGGTCCTCTGCAAGAACAACCAGTACTCTTAATTGCTGAGCCATCTCTCCAGCCAGTATGGCTTTCTATTGATCTCTTTTGATGATATTAAATCTCAAGACAATAGTATCATCTGCTACATGCTAAAAGCAGACAATCTGCTGTCTAGTCCTAGACACTAATAGACTTAATATTTAGAACTCTGCTCTTTAAGGAATATTTTGAAGTTATAATTTTTTTTTCTTAACTCTCTTAGGCCAACCAAGCCTTCGAGAAGCTATTTCTATGTCCTGTATAACCAATGGAAGTGGTATAAACAGAAAACCAAGTCACACCAGCTCTGTCTCAATTGCAAGAAAAGAAACTCTTTCATCTGCTGCTAAAAGGTACCCATTTGTAATGGGGAGGGGGACTGATGGTGCACGACTATGTGTGATAGATTAGGCCTCTGAGTAAAAGAATAGCCATATGGGATTCAGATGCACGTGTTTTGAATTCTGTAACTGTGAATGAGACATCTAGCCTATGCAGATTCTGTTTACAGTCATTACACCTGCCACATCATATTTAGGATGTTTTGGGTTCTTACTAAAGGGACAGACCCAGTTCCTGGGTTCTGCCGTGTTTGGTTGTTTTGTTTTTAGCAAGAATTTATTGGTGTATTTAATGAAATTTATTGATATGCTTAATGAAATTTTATAAGTGAATTTTCCTTAGCAAGTGATATATTTGATACATAGCATTTTACAGGGAAAACAGAATTTCTAATATATTTACATTAGTGGGAGGCTAAATGCTATTAAAACTTTTTTCTTTAACCATAATTATAAAACTGAGGTCCAACCTCTGTGTTTCTGTGTCTGCATGTTCGGGGCTGGGCTGGTAGGAGACCAGAGGGCAGTAGAATTACTACAGTGTTTTAGTGTTGTTAACATTGCAGTATTTTGCAGTGTTCTAGTTATTACATATTTGAATTATATGTGTTTATCAATTAATGTAATCTGTTGTCCAGTAATACTGCTCAAAGAACTTTCCTTTAACTTTTTTTTAAAATTTCTAGCAAATTATTCCATATGGAGTTTGGAGAGATCATAGAAGATCAACTGTATATAATAGGTTTCTTCAAATAATGAATGAGGGAGGAAAAAACCCCTAAAAAGTAGGATCATGTGTACTGGTGGAATGCCAGTGACTAAGTCATTTGTAGTGTGGAATCAGAAATGCTTAACCAAACAGGTGGCTACAAGAATGGTGAAGAAATAACAAGAGCTTCAGTCCTTTAAGAATTCCTTCTAGAACTTATTACAGAAATCTAGTTTATCTCTGGCCCATTTTCAGGAGAAAAGAACAGGTTGTAATAAAATATTCATAGTAGAAATCGGTAAGAGAATTTTTAATCTGTATGCATCTTTTATCTCAGAACAGTTGAGTTTTAGCCATTTTCTTAAATAGCTGTTGTAGTGACAAGTATTGTGCACTGTAGTATTTCAGTGATCTAAGACCAATTGATTTTGTTTCTTTATGATGCAGGGGCACTGAATTTTGCTTTTAAGTAAAAGTTTTAGTGGGCCTACCTAGTGGCCCATGTATTAAGGGTAATTTGAGGACCAATAAGAAAGAAGTAACATCTAATTCACACACACACACACACACACACACACACACACACACACACACACCTACCCTGCCTTCCTTCTGTGTGTGGTGTATGAGTGCATGTGTGTATACAGGTGCACTCACTCACCTGTTTGCTCACATGTGGAGGCCATAGTCGAATCTACATCGGGTGTCTTCCTCTGTTCTCCCTTTCATCTTTTGAGACAGGGTCTTTCACTGAACCTGGACCTTGCCATTTTGGCTAGATTTTTTGACCAGCAAGTTCCCAAAATCTACCTATTCCTGCCTCCCACTTCCAGTGCTGGGTTATAGGCGACCTCTACCATGCCTGGCTTTTTACATGGGTATAAAGAGCCAAACTCAGGTCCTCAATACTTAACGTAGCAAGCATTTACCCTCTGACCATCTTCCCAACCCCAGTTTTAAAATTTCAAAATTAATATAAGATTTCAAAACTGAATCCATGAGAAATGTTAGTCAAAATCATGTTACAACATTTTAAACTAATGTAATGTAAATAGTGAAGTATATATACTATATAAATTTGTTATAGATGTTCTTGGAACATAACTTCTTTATAGTAAAATCACAAAATGTCCTTCAGGTAATACAGTAATAACTGTAGACAGACAGTTTTCTGCCTTTTTGATAATTGAAATGCAAGTCTTAAGTCCATCCACTTTATAATACTGCTAATTATGGTGCAATTGAGAAGGTGTTTTATTAAGTGTCCAAGTGAAAAATCATAAAAGCTACACATAAATATCTCAAGTATTTCAACTGAAATATATGACATTCATTTGTCAGTTTATTATGAAAGGACAAGCCTCCTTCTCCTTTCAAAGGATGGGTCTCTGACTATCTTTCATAATATGCCTATAATTAACTTCATAATTCTTAGTTTAATTTTTAAAGGCAGAGAAAGAAATGTAAAACTCTGGCAAAACAACATTTTATCAGACTTTCTCTTTATTACCTTTTATAATTAAAATAACTAGCATAAACAGGTTTGGTAAATCACCAATTTTTTGGTAGGAATAGAACTGTTGGCGGGGACTGGGGATGTAGCCCAGTGGTAGAGTGCTTAGCTGGCATATGTAAGGCCCTGAGTTGATCCTCAGTACCACAACCTGACCTTCCCTCTTCCCCCAGAAAGAAAACCTCACTTGATGGGGGCTAGAGGAATCAGAAACTTGGCCAGTTAAATACGTGCAATTAGTGTATCCTGGGTATCAGTTTGTTTCCACAGGTCTCCCTAATCCTTTATTTTAGAGAAGTTGGGATCAATTAAGAACATATCTATTACCCCTCTGAAACCTGCCAAAATTACAAAATTTGTAAGAGATAATTTCTATCCAAAAGGACAGTTTTCATAGGCGGTCTTATTACCTTAGCTTTTTGGTTTTTTAAAAGAAATTCTTTTTTAAAGATTATTTTTCCTTGTTCAGTTAGAGCAATATAAATTGTATTAGTTATATGATTAGGGTTTTGAACTATATAGTAACCACTTTATTATTTTGAATTTTAAGTTTGTTTAAATGTGTGTTGTTCCATGTTATACTTTATTTTACAGTGGTACAGAAAAAAAGAAAGAAAAACCACAAGGACAGAAAGAAAAAAAAGAGGAATCTCATTCTAATGATCAAAGTCCACAAATTCGAGCATCACCTTCTCCCCAGCCCTCTCCACAGCCTCTCCAAATACACAGACAAACTCCAGAAAGCAAGAGTTCTGCTCCCACCAAAAGGTTTTAACTGTCCCCAAGTACAGAGCTAGGGAATGGTTGTAAAGATATCAAAATTCTGTGACTTGGGAAAACTTTGGCTATTCATGTTGACTCTTTTTTTCCCCCCATTGCTATAATCTACACATTAGGGAATAAAAGTTTAAAATTAAAATTTCTCAGTTACAACTGGCAAAGAAACAAGTTACAATTTGGTAAAAGAAAAGCATAAATAACCTCTCTAAAATATTTTTATAATAAAATTATAAGATACTTTGTAATTTTTATACAGTTGTGCATAAATTTGTAGCCATGGGTAGAAAATTGCCATGTGTAATTATCCTCACCACATTTTGGCATCATTACAACCTTCAACTTGCAGGGTCTTTCTCAACAAATGGCTCTTTGTTGTGGCTGTATTTCAGTTTTAGTCTGGGGTCTTGGGAGGATAAGTTCTTGCTTGAGTAGAGAAATTAATTCATTCCACCTGGTCTTGTTTATGCTAAAGGCTTATTTGAGAGCTTTTCTCTATATCTATAATAATTAATATTTTAAAGTGATGAGAAGGGAAAAAAAATTCTAAGAGCATATGAGAGCCTAAATTCGGGGCTTAGACCTGCATGCTGAGAGGTCACTGCTACAGCTACCTTGTAAAAAAAATATTAAGACCAACTTAATTAAATTTGCTTGTTTTAGAAGTGCTGATTCAAGCTTTAGCATTAGTTATATATTTTATTATCATATAGTTCTGCCTAAGAATTTTAGGAAACTATTAAACTATTCCCAGAACTGGTTAGAATTTCAACAAAGTAAATAACAACCATTCTTAAAAGATTTACAATATATTTTTATTTAAGTACTTTAATATTTTGCTCCAAGTCTGTAATGGAAATTTGAAAATCCAAAATATCCTTCACTTGATTAATGCATGTTTTTCATTTACAGAATGCTTTGTCTCTGTGCCTCACGCGATTCTTATGCTATTAAAAAATGTGTCATTCCTCTGCCTGGTCTCCTGTGGATATAGCCTTTTAATGTTATGCACCTTCTGACTGTGTGTGGTGAAATCCAGCTTTTTATAACCAATCTCTTCAAGGCTCTAATCTGACTTGGTGTCCTCTTTGTCCCAGAATCTTTTTTTCAGCTTCATAGGGTCTCCTGGAAACGTGCTTGCCCTTCTAAATTGCTCTTTGGATCTACTACTGCAAGAAGTTTAGAAGACTGGATGGGTTTCAGGACAGTTAACAATGCAGCCCAAAAGTCATTTATAAATCACAAAACTTCAGTTACAAATGTAGGGAATCAGCATTGATAATGCCCCTTATTTTTTCTTTTTTTGTCAGATACTGTTTATTTCTGATCCTGAGTAAAACTCTAAACCCACAAACAAGAGTTTTAGTTTTAGTGTCACAGTTTATTTAGAAATTCATACCATATGTAATTTAATTACATGAGAACATAATTGCATACAAAGTGAAAGTCACACTCTCATAAATCCAATGGCTATTAGAAATAGATATATTTTATAACTAAAAATGAAGGGAACTGTTACTTAGAGATTTAAGAAAAAAATTTCCTATTAGTAGCGGATTGTGTAAATATTTTGAATAATTCTGAAAATTATAAAATGGACTAATTGCCTTGTTTAACTCCTTCACTCATCCAGCCAGATTTTTTCAACTAATCCTTCACTCTTATGGATTTGCTCTAAGAAAATGTTAATCACTTCTTTTATATCCTGTTTAAACTGTCAATTACATGTCATTGCTACTCAGAACTTCTAAGAAGTTAATTTGTTTCTTCTAGTATAAAACGTCCACAAACAGCTGAGAAGTCACATAATTCATGGGAAAATTCAGAAGATAGTCGTAATAAATTATTGAAAACTATTTCAACATCAAAATTAATATCAAAAGTTATAAAAAATACAGACAAGTAAGTTACTTTTTCTGTTATGCATGAAAACTAATAATTATTTATTTTTATTTTATGTGTATGAGTATACATATTGCCTGCATGTGTGTAAGCATACTCATGTCATACAAGGCCCACAAAGGTCAGAAGAAGGCATCAAATTCCCACGGAACTAGAATTATGGTCAGTTGTTAGCCGCCATGTGGGTGCTGGGAATTGAACCCGGGTCCTCTGTAAGAGCGGTCAATGCTCTTAACCACTGAGCCATCTCTCCAACCCCGAATTTTTAAATACATATCTTCATTGTTTTATTTTTTCTTTCTGTGTATTTAGAAAAGCTTTGTCTTCCTGTTAATAATTTCCCAAGTATCTCAATCTTGTACAATTTAAGAATTGTATTCTTTTTATGCTTTCACTGTTTAGGTGATCTTAGGGGCTGTTCATTGTTTTATGAAACAGTGTATATTAGTAATTAAGACTACTGGGAAATAAAAATTACTAATGCCTGCATTTTATTTGTAGAGAGTTATCTAGGATAAGGGCTGAGCATCAAATATTTTTAATTATTTCAAGTGCTTCTAATGCTGAGCCATATAAAATAAATGTGTTCTTTGTATTCTTTTTTTTTTTTAGACATAAAGATGTTATCATCAATCAAGGTAAATTAATTTCTTTTTTAAAAATAGTTGCCTTGCTTTTCTACAGTAGTTTAATTATTGCTAGTTCATAAGAATGTGACGTATTTTCATTCAGAGTATTTTATTAGTAATCAGAGACATGTGTTACTGTAATCATTATGAAAATGCTCAGTTTTTATTGTAAGATATGTCATTTTTGTCTCAACCAGCAAAAATATCAACCCGTGAAAAAAACAGCCAAGGTAAGAATGAGCTGTGCAGTGGTCGCCTTCCTGAGTCCATTTCTTCTTGGATATCTTATTTGTTATTACTACTGTCTGACTTTCCTCTTAACAAAGGAAGCATCATGGTAATATGATTTAGTAAGTTCAACTGCTATTTAAAAATATCCATATGTGAGGTCTGAAGAATTAAGGTGAACAGTAAAAATAAATATGGCAGTATGACTAAGTACAACAATATTTTTCTCCAAAAATTATACTTAGAAAAGCCATTTAAAAGATTGATAATTTTTTACTCAGTTTCCTGTCTTGCCAACTTATTGCAAATAATCACTCATTTCTTGATGCTGGACTGAATATAATGAGTCTAGCAAACCATTTCCTCTTAAAATTTTTCCTTTTTATTAATTGTAATTTCTGGCTACTTGCTCTTGGCTTGTTCTGACCAAAACAGAAGAATAGACTTTCTATACATGTGTATGCAATTTAATTACAAAGTATGTAAGTTTTATGTATCAGTTTTACATTCTCTTCAGATTGCTTGCTTGCAAATATAATTAAATCATACTGTTCTAAAAGAAATCATGTCTTTTCTGTGCATGCTTTTTGCAGCTCATTTCTTTGTGTCATAGTCATCTTTGTTTCCTGGACTATTAACCAGTTAAATTGTGATTAATTTTTTTTTTCAGATTTAACTTGATTTTTGCAGATTTTTACTTTCTTGATTCTTGAAAGAAAAAGTATTTGTTATATTCTTTAGGTCATCTGTTTTTACGTAACAGATGTAATTTAAATAACATTGAGATTTCACGGCATTCCAATCCTTTAGTTTGATGTTTGGTCTGAACTTTCTGCAGTGTAATATAGTGTAGATTAATTACATAATGATTGCCACAGTTTAAGAAAATACATTTATGAAGATGGGGGCGGGGAGGGAGGTGGGGGAGCAGTGATGCACAGTGGAAAGAGAGTGAATCTGGACAGTCACTGTTTCAGTATTTGTTGGATTTTGGCACTTCTTTTTGATAGTGATCTTCATGACCTAGGCCAAATGGCAGTGTCCTTTAGTGACTTTGTGAACTGAGCATAATAGAATAAGTTCACTTTACATGACTGTCAAAGATTAAATAATGTATGTGAAATTACTTTGAAGCTGGAAGTGCTGTGCCTATAAATATGTAGTGATAGTGATATGTGCTATTACAGAATGTCTTGATGAGTAACTCAAATTTTACAAAGCATTTATAGGGTAAATGAAAAAGGCCTGTCTGACTTTTGGTGTGTTTTAGTATGTTTAGAAGGAAAACAACTTAAGATTAGTCTGTAAGAGTGGTTTGTGTTGATGACACTGTTTTTTAAAAAAAAAAATCACTTAGGTAAACAAGTGAAATAGTGTAATTCCTAGGTTGCTAGTAGTGCTGTGAATGCGTCACTAAGGATTTTAGCCAGTATCTGGGGAGGAGGATGGAACAGAAAACTGGAAGAGGATATAGAAAAAAGAAGCCAAACTTTATTACAAAAATTTACCTTAGAAGTGTCCCAGATTTTAGAAATTGAAGACATTAAATGTTGACTGCACTGAGCCTCGTTTGTGGAATTTGAGTATATTTCTTTGCCCTGTAATCACTGTATCCTTTCTGGAGAATAATCGGTAGACACCAAGACTCTTGTATAGTTTGTTATATGGTTTAGGACTGACTGAGTTTGAGGCAGAGCCCATCAAAAGAAATAGATTCTAGATTCTAAGTATTTTAATAGTAGAATGTGGGAAGTAAGAAGCAGAGGGATCATGGAGACTGACTTGAAAGGACTAGATAAGTGATCTCTGCACACATAGGAAACATTTGAGAAGTACACAGGTGCAAAATAATTGGAATTAGATTTTGAACAACTGCACTTAAATTATCTTTAAAATTTTACCAAAAAAGAAAAAAACCCACTTAACCTACATGTAGAGACTTACAGCAAGCAGTATAATGTAGACATTTAAACACATGAATTTTGGAGTCTAGAAACTGGTTCTTCATTGACTTACTTAGCTCTGGTCACTTTGAACACGCTGTTTTTCTCCCTTCAGTCTTTGTTTTCTCGTCTGTAATTGCAGTAATGATAAGCCTTCAAAAGACTATTGCAGGACTGGAGAGATGGCTCACCAGTTAAGAGCACCGACTGCTCTTGCAGAGGACCTGGGTTCAATTCCCAGCACCCACATGGCAACTAACAACTGTCCGTGACTCCAGTTCCAGGGGATCCGGCACCTTCATCTGACCTCTGTGGGCACTGCATGACATGAGTGTACTTACATACATACAGGCAATACACTCATACACATAAAATTAAAAAAAAAATTTTTTTTTGGTCTTTTTGAAGCAGGGTCTTCCTGTAGCCCCAGCTGTCCTGGAATTTACTATGTAGACCAGCTGGCCTTGAACTCACAGAGATCTGCCTGCCTCTGCCTGGGACTACAGGCGTGTGCCACCACACCCAGCTAAATAATATTTTTTTAAAAGGCTATTGCAAAAATTAAAGATAGTACTAAAGTTTTATTTTTTTAATGCAGTGCGTGGCACATAGCACAGAGAGAGAGAGAGAGAGAGAGAGAGAGAGAGAGAGAGAGAATATGTTGTGTGTGTGTCCCCGTCCATCCGTCCATCCATCCTAGATCTGTCTAAAACTAAATACTTTTTATTACTCGTGTCCTGGTTCTGGATTTTATTGTAGTCTACAAGGTAAAAGTCATTTTTAGAGTGAGAACACTCAATATCATTTATATGTATTCCTGACTGGCCTGGAATGCACTCTGTAAGCAAAGCTAGCCATGAACTTACAAAGATCTGCCTGCCTTGGCCTCCCAGTTGCTGGGATTAAAGGCATCTACCATTACATCAATTTTTTTTTTTTTTGTCTTTTTGAGACAGGGTCTCCCTGCAGCCCCAGCTGGCCTGGAACTCACAGAGATCCGCCTGCCTCTGCCTCCTGAGTGCTGGGATTAAAGGCATGTGCCACCACGCCCGGCCTATATCAAGCTTTTTATTTGTTGTTTTGAGGTGCTGTAGATTGAATCCAGGACCTTGTACATGCTAGTCAAGTACTGTACCACCAGGCTAACCCTTATGTTTGTTAATATTAAAAAATAAGGGTCCCATGTTCTCATTTCAAAAGCAGAAACTGAATATTCTCAAATTATTAACTTATTTTTCTGTTTTAATATCTGAAACTAGTGCTCTTTGTTTTTTAAAAATATTTTTCTTTTTATTTTATGTGTATGTGTATATTGCCTGCATGTATGTAAGTGTACCCATGTTGTGCAGTGTCCACAGAGGACAGAAGAAGGTATGGGATCCCCTAGAACTGGAGTTACAGACAGTTGTTACCTGCCATGTGAGGGCTGCAGTTCAAACCCAGGTTTTCTGCAAGAATGGCCAGTGTTCCTAGCTTGCTGAGCCATCTCTCCAATCTCTACTCTTTGGTTGGGTTTTTGTTTGTTTTTTTTGGGGGGGGGCGGGGATTCTATTATAGATTTGATGTGTTTATATATTGTCCCTTTATACATATTCTATACATTTGGTCATTCATTTAACATATTTATTATTTATTATGTTAGGTCCTGTGATAAGCACTTGGAGTTACAGCAGTTACTGTGTCTGAACCATGAATTTATGTACCAAACAGTTGAAACATAATATGTAGACAGAACATAACTTCTTAATACCATAAAAGGTAATATGTATTAGAAAAGAATAGAGGGATTTCCATGTCACATAGAATGGTAAGGAAGGCATTTCCAGTACAGTGACATTTAAGCCACCTAAGGAAAGAGAGATATGTGAATTTCCAGAGAAAAAAATTTCATCAGTAGAATTTCATCAGTAGAAAGTACATAAGCACTGAGGAGGAGCTCTTGTACTGTGTTAGGGAAGAGCATTTAGATCATTGGTCATAGGATACATGCAGAGTTGTTATTTGTTAACCTTTGTATTTGTAAAATACACACTCTGTGCAGCAGAAACTTAACTAGGTACTTCATTTAGAAAAGACGCACATGACATGGTGGAAATAGCATAAATGAAATAAGTGTGAGCTGTAGGGGCAAAGATGAAAGAATCACAGTCCTGTGGTGACTACAGTTATTGTAGGCTGGGAGAAGCTCAAAGTCCATTTGCTAGAGGAAATTATTGGGAAAGGAATAAAAAGGAAAATTGTTGATTTGATAATGCTTTTTTCTTGACTCTGGGATTTCGGTTTCAATGTTCTCACATATAATTGAGCTTTAAGTTCTTCTTAACATTTTGAAAAAGAAAATGGACAGTTTTTTCCCTCTCCCCACTGTCTTCACCAATTCTCTCATAAACTACTTTTTAAAGAACTTGAATGTAGGTAACTTTGTTTATTCCTTGCATTATATTTTCTGAGTACTTGACTCCAGGTACATTTGGTCCTAAAATTTGGTCATACCTGTGTAAATTAAGCAATGTATCTGAAAAATAGGCAAAAGTTACCTGTATGATAACTGTGTTCTGTTGACACTGCATCATATCACATATTGAGAAGGTCTGCAGTTTGAAAAAACTGAAAACTGTCAAAAGTCCTTAATCAATAGGCAGAATCTTTACTTGTTACTGAGATGGAATCCAAAACTTGGCAGTTCCAGAATTTAGGAATAAAGATGCTAGAGCTAAATCTGTTTCACGTGAATGAGCAAAGAGAGGAAACTGAATGCTATATATCCCCCCCAAAGCACTTGCTTTTAGTCAGTGCATTTAGTAGGCAATATAAACATAACTTGGATCCATACATTGAGCTTTGTATGTTTTCTTTATATATGTGTGTGTATATATATGGATGTATATATAAACTTTTTATTTTATTTTTTTTAACGTGTATGAGTATATTGCCTGCATGCAAGTAAGTGCTCCCGTGTCCTGCAATGCCACGGAGGTCAGAAGAGGGCTCTGGATTCCCCTGGAACTGGAGTGAAGGACGGTTCATAGCTGCCATGTGGGTGCTGGGAATCAAACCCG